CGCCTCCTGCTGAGGTCGCCCCTCCTGGTTTCCAGTTGGTGCCCGTTGCCCCTTGTCCTGTCCCTGGGCACCACTGACCAGAGTCTGGCCCCAGCCTCTTGCCCCCCAGGGCCCTTTAGCTCTTGCTCAGCACTGATCAGATCCCCTCTGAGGCTTCTCTCCTCCAGCTCAGCAGCCCCAGGGCTCTCAGCCTGGCCTGGCACAGAGATGCTCCAGGACCCTCAGCATCATCTCTGTAGCCTCCACTGGACTCTCTCCAGCGGCTCCTTGTCTCTCTTGGACTGGGGAACCCAGAACTGGACACAGGGCTCCAGAAGTGGCCTCACTAGGGCAGAGGAGAGGGGGAGGAGAGCATGGGCAGAAGGAGAGCTCACGCCAAGAACAGCAACACTCGTGTTTGGTTTTCGTTTGTATTATTGACACCTACCCCCTGGACAGAAGTCTGAAATCCTAAAGGTTTTCTTACAGCCACCCCCTCCCCATCCACCTGCTGAAACCCAGAGGAACGAGCCAGGGCCTCAAATACTCAGTATCTGTGAAACTCACTGAAACTCAGTGAAGCCACATATAAATATAGACGAGAGGAAGGATGTCGCAGGGATCCGAAAACGGCAGACACAGAACGATGCTCAATTTAGACAGGCACAATCTGGAGTTTGGGCAAAACTAGACTCACCAATTACTTTTTCTTTGTGAAAAGCCATAGAGGGACTTCATTACTGCAGAACTTTGGGGTTGAATATTATTCAGAGTGTGAAATCTGTTTTATGTCATAGCTTAACCTAAATGACACATTTTTTTATGCTGGCAGTGCTTTATGAATTGCTATCTTGCTATTTAGCTAAGCCCTGTAGCTTAATGATGAAGAAATATAATGCAGTTAGTCATTTGGGAAAGAAGTCACACACGTTTCCTCTTGATCTCCTCTTTTAGACCGCTATAAATAAAAGTTCTGATGTAAAAATAATTTTTAAAAGAGAAAGGCAAAGAGAGAGGAGAGTTCAGCTACAGCATTCCATCAATACACAAAATGCAAAGTTGACAGTTTAATGACCAAAGTGCACCCAAGAATACTCTGCAACAATTTTCCCAGCCATATGGGCTGCAGCACTGCTCTGCTGCTGGGTGATGTCTCTGTGTACCAGGAGGTACTTCATGCTTGTCTGAGGAATTTACATTTTAAAGTAAACATAACCTTTGGCACCCATGGATACCATCAAGACCTGAACACTTAGTTTCAATCTCTTCCTAGTAAAAACTCTGTTAAAATGACTGGATGAGACTTTTTGAGCTCTCTTTTGTTGTTTTTTTATTATTATTACTCAGAAAGTTGGGGGTTGTAAGGGACCTTTAGAGATCACCTCCCCCAGCCCCCTGCTCCAGCAGCTCACCCCCAGCAGGGTGCCCAGGGTCACAGCCAGGAGGGTTTGGGATCTCTCCCGAGCAGGAGACTCCACAGCCTCTCTGGGCAGCTGCTCCAGGCTCTGCACCCTCACACCAAAGGAGTTTCTCTTCACGTTCAGATGGAACCTCCTGGGTTCCAGATTGTGCTCATCACCCCTTGTCCTGTCACTGGCCATCACCAAAACCATGTTGAGGGCACCACTCAAAACAGCCAGGGATGCAGGAACCAGACCCTGACCAGCTCCTTGCAGGGGCTACGACTGGTGCAAGTAACCA